AGACGCTACTGAAGAGCCCAGAGGCAAAATCTCTGGTAACTTTGGCGCACGACAGATCATTCGACCCCCCTGGCCCTATTGATGATGAAGCTATTATGGCAATGATCCTCGCTGACCTGCTATGGTTGGAGAACAAGAAGGTGTAACGGATCATGCCTTGTGTCAATTTAACACAAGGTTATGTGCACAAGATGTCACTTAAAATTGGCGTGAGGAAGCGCAGTGAAGTAGGTAGAACTCCAAAGCTCTGTCTAAGGGATAAAGTAGAACTGTATTTAATATAGTTATGTTTCTCAATAAACCATCTTTCGTGTTGAGCTAACTATATTAAACTACAATCTCCTATGTGGGTTTCTTGCTCACCACCCATTGCGCGCGTCCAGCAGCAATTGGTGGTTAATCTGGTTGATGTACCGCGACCATCAACCATCAGGTGGAGCAACCAATCAAAGAAATACTACCCTCGGGGGTAATATTCCTTCAACCTTTTTCCCAACGGGTAATGTCATTTGAACATTATCTAAATAGACAATGTTCAAAATTGATACAAAAATATCAATTTTTATGTAACGGGCTCACCCCGTCATAATGGCGTCACGGCAACAAGGCCTGTAAGTACGAGTTTAGAGAATATGACAAAGGACTAAAGACGGTGGCTGAAAGTATCCGTATGGTATCACGATGCAAATAAGATGGCTGCAGCTGGAATCACGGTAGTACGATGTAAAAGAGATGGCTACAACTGGAATCAAGGTAGTACAATGCAAGAAAAGATAGTTTATCGATGAACATGTATCTACCCATCTGCCGTTGTCAGGGCGCCTAATCGGGGTTGAGGGGTTGATGGAACCCCCAGACCCCTTAAAGGGTACCCCCCGGGTCCAATGGGAGGTTTTTGGGGTGTATATGCAATTCGTGATCTGTCTCCCTTGTGTAACTGTCCAATAGTAATGTAACGCGCATCATTTGACTCGATTGTGCAAGTGTCACTAGTGTTACTGTCGCCTCGTGACGAAACAATGCGCTAGTAACTAAAATCAAACACTGGATCAAAACGACAAAACCCTCTCTCTTTCCACATGTTCCCTCTTTGCCTCCACCTGTTACCATTTACCATGTCTAAAACCAGTACCGACGTGCCCAACGATACCCTTGCGCCTCTCACCACCCAAAGTACCAAACGTAGCCGGGTTTAAGCTCATTTTGAGGTTGATGCGGACGCCAACAAAACCCTTTGGCAAGTCGTCACAAACCAAAGGACGAGCCCTGCATGAGGTCGCTCCCTTAATCTTGACAAGTCCGGCAGCACCAAGAACCTGAACGAGCACCTGACAAAGGTCCACAATCTCAGCGATCCGAATAATAATGCATCGATTCAGAAGTATTTTTAAAGGGGAACTCTCGAGAATGTGAGCTTTTGAAACACATGAAGCCTGCATTTGCAAAAGACCAAATCTCCCATGCTGTAGAACGTGTTGACCGGACAGAAAGTAAAAATTCATATTAGATACTTCATTGCTGACGCCAACCTGACGTTCGCTATAATCGAACGATACTCTGTTTTTAATATTTTAGGCGCCTGTAACGAGAATAATCTTAAGACGATGGTCAAGGCCGACGCCATCCAGTACCATCTTTTCCGAATGTATATTCAGCACCGTGAATTCATCAAGATCAATTTCTTTAAGGTCGAATGGATCGCTTTTACTTCTGATGCTCGGACTTCACCCGAAGTGATATCCTTGATGGCACTCACTGCTCATTGGATTGACACCGATTGGAAATGAAAGAACTATTAGTGGGGGTTCCTGATGTGATGGGTAAGTGCATTTTCCTAATTGCATGGGTACTGTGGGATTTGATAACTAGATCTCCTTCTTCCCTGTAACAATTATGTTTTGCAGGGGAGCATTCTGCTCAAATAATACCCAGAACTGCATTAGAACGTTCTATCCGACAATGGCATCGTTGGATCTCTCTCTGTACTTACTGCCGACAATGCCACCACAAACTTCGCTATGGCTCGAGCTCTTTCCCGCATGAAGCACGTGGAGTTCAAACTACAAGATTGTCTGTTTGTCTGCATGTATTACGTGATTCATTTGGCTGCAATGGATGGAATCACGGCCCTTGCAGGGATAGAATACCTCAATAATGAAGAGGAGGACTCCGTTGCCACATTTTTCATATCGGTGCACAACATCACCACCCAACTTAATGTTTTCAATGTCAATTTGGCTACGGTCTTAAAAGCGTGTAAACGGCATGTCAGTGTATGTACTATCTTCTGTTCGACGTCACGAAAGTTTTGCCCAAGCTGTGGAGTACCATCAAGCAGGCTCTACTGTGAACTGCTTGATTCTCAATGTCGAAACGCGGAGAAATCGTCTTACCAGATGTGAGCCCGCTTTTTGCACTTACGATATGTACGTGTGAATTATTTCTTCGACTCATTGGTAAAATTGTTCTTCTTTTCGGTTCGACAGCCCGACCGTGACTGGAATCTGCCTCAGCGATGTCGATTATCAATAAATTTATCCTTTCAAAAGAGGAAGGGTGAAAGATTGGTAAGCTCATTAATTTTTTTCAACCTTTATACACGTCCAAGGAAAGGCTTGCGAGCTCTCGTTTCTCCACGCTTAAGAAAGCTCTCCCGATCTGTTTTGCCTTTATTGTTCAATTGCAAAAGGCGTGAAGCTAAAATTGTATGATGTAGAGAATCCGAGATATCAATATTCGAGCTCAGGCATAATTGAATCTTGTGGGTGGATCAGACCTACGACTCGGAGCAACTTCTACAGCCAGCTAGAGACATTATTTAAAAGCTTGAAAGTATCTCAAGGCGGCCCTCAAGAAATCTGTTTACCTGCGCGCCGTCATTCTCGATCCCCGAATCAAGATGTTTCTCTTTAGCATGCATGCAGGACATTTCGCTCAGTATGGCATCCATACTCGCATGATTCGTGAGAGCTTTGCTGTTGCTGCAATCCGCTACAGCACTCATGCAGCCGTTCCCATCGCTACTGAAGAAGCAGGTGAAGAGGACGACGATTTTGAAGTTTTCATGAATGCAAAGCGGCAGAAGATTACCAACGTGAACGGGGGAATTGTAAAGTATTTGGGGTAGGACCTGGCCGATAATGATGTGGATCCTTCGGGATATTGGCACGGTCGACAGGTGAATTTTCCTAGTTTGGACAAGATGGCGAGGGCCCTTCTGGCAACTCCTGCTACCAGTGTCCCTTCCGAGCGTGCTTTCTCGATGGGTTGTTTGATTTGCAGGAATAAAGGGCATCTCTGAACGGGGCACCATTGAGATGCTGATGTGTATGCAGGACTGGTACAAGAAGTTGCCGAGGGTTGTTATGTAGAGAGGGTGTAAGATCTGTTGGAAATGCTATGCAATACATACCGATATGTATCAACAAATACATATGTAAACCCTCCAGGGACCCCCCGTGGGGTTGACGTACCCCCCCCCCAAATCCCATCCCCCGGTTACCCCCGAGGGGGAACCCCCTGGGGGGGTTCCGGTCCGGGTAGGAGCCCTAGCCGTTGAGACTGCGGATCACGTCGCGTTACTACATGTACCCAAAGCAAGTCAACGGCTTCGCTTGTAGAAAGCAGCTGTGTACTTAGCTATGGGATGCGTCGATCGCAGCGACCCGCCACAATTACAGTCACTTCCTATCCAAGTACGACTGCGCTTGTCACGTTAACGCTGATACTGCTGTGTGTCTCGACTGCAGTACAAGTGAACGCGCCATTTGTGCCGACACGTGGCACTGCTTACTCGCAACATTGGCGATAGCTTTTCTCGAAAGTCCTATGAACGGACAAGCCTGGTGTTATGGACCGCTTCTGCAACATTTGCCGAGGTTTCGTCCGTGAACAATTGGAGGTCTTTTAAGTAAGGACAGATATGCATACATCGTCGACATCAGTGCAGCTTTTGCATTGCATAATCTACAACGCCGTATCGTTTGAAAGGATCTGACACCACTAACTCCCAGCGCCGTCTTTGCGTTGCCGACGTGACAGCAAACACACATCGAAAGCTGCTTCGATCGAAAGCGAAACCGCATGAAGAAGTGCTCCTTGTGTGAAGTTGTAACGGGGCACACCCTTGCTTGAACTTAACGCAAGGGTTTTGGTGTGCCCGACAGACGTACATGAGGCAAACGAAGAAGCGTAGAATAAGGGAAAGTAAAAACTGTTGTATTAATATGATTAAGTCTTTTGCTACTCTCTGTTTAACCTGACTCAATTATACTAATATAACTGAGTGTATAGTGACGTCTCGTCACCACTCATTGCGCGCGTCCTGCGGCGATTAATGGGTTGATATCGTCAAGATATCAACCAATGAGCAGACCCTTTGGTCGCTCCACCAATATCACCACTATCGGTGATATTGTTCAAAGACTATTCAACTTAATATTCTTTATATTCATTGTTTCTTTAAAGTGACAATTCCATGGAACGGGCTGCCCCGTTACAGAAGTAGCTCGGAGGAACCAATAAGAAAAACAACGTCAAATACGACGTCAAGCAAAACTCTCACACTGCGACGTCGATGTCGATGAGTCGATGGCGATCGCAGTGGCAGTTGTTCGTCTCATTCACCGCCGAGAGCGTCGAGCAACCGAACAATGAAACACGACCACAAAACAAACAACTAAAGTCGAGCCATGCAAACGTACTGACCTCAGATCACAATTCTTCGCATCGATCGAGGCCATTCATCACGGCGTTCACCTCGCGATGCGTCGAAGCCAATAGAGTACAACATGTCGACGAGAGGACAGGAAAACGGCAGCGACAACCCATCAACACGACGGGGTGGTGCATGCACGACGTGTGCGTCCGCTGTCTATTGTATCTGCCGACTTCGCAACACAAGTACATCATCGAAACGAATGGACCACAGACCAAGCAGTCCACCCATCCACGAACCGACTGCCCCCTGCCTTTGCCGCCGTCCTCCTCTTCGGTAGACTATGACCCCCGCAGACACACGTGCCGCAACGCTCGTGGCATGGCTCCATCGCCTCGAGCACGACACCTTCAGCCAGGCGCCCGCAATGACGTACGCCGTGACAAAGTCCTTGACGATCCACGTCCTTGGAGCCGATCATCGCGAAGGCAACAGCGGCGCCGCGACGTTCGAAGTCTTCCGAGCGTTCACGGAAGACGTCGTGTCTCGCGCGCGGCTCACGTCGCTCCAGTTTGTGCTCGTGGGGCCCAATGTGTCGCGGCCGCTGCACCTCAACGAGTGTACGCACCAGTGGCCACTACCACCGTCCGACGCCATGGGCCGCGACGCCGCAACGTGTGACGTGACGATCCGCTACTTTGTCGGCAGCTTTGAACGCTACTTCCTCGACAAGCAGCGGTTCTGTGCGCCAGACCTCGTCGTGTGCTTCAACGCCGGTCTCTGGGGCTACGACGACTGGCGGCCGGCGATGCAATTGGTGCTGCACGACGTGCCCCGCGCGCCGCTGCTCGTGACGTCGTACAACGCCCACGAGGCGCGAGACGATGAGGACGTGCTCGACACGATGACGACGACGTCGAGGCAGTGGCTCTGGCGACCCGAGAAGAATCCGTGCGGGGCGAGCACGCCACGCGCGACAGCCAACGTGGCCGCACGAGTGCTTAAGGAGAACGACTACTGGATGTGCCTCGCGCGGGCCGCAGACAACAAGACGTGACGCGTGGGCCGCAGACAACAAGACGTGACGCGCGGGACTCGCTGGAAGAAGAAGAAGCAAACACGCGTCGACGACTGCTTCTTCGTGTTGTTGGTGTTGGTGTTGGTCGTTACGGCTCTTCCTCGTCTTCTTCTCCTCCGTCTTCTTGTCGGTCCAATGTGTGTGTGTGCGGCCGTGCTCGGTCTCTAGCTCTCGAGCCGCACTTTGACGGCGACGCCACATGGCGTTGGACCCACCAAGCGACGGAGACGCAGCTCGCCGTCGAGCTCGCGTACCTGTGGCAGCACCGACTGAAGCGCCTGTGCCACTTGCGCCCACGTTGTGGTCGGGTCCACAAGTGTGCAGAACGTGCCGGACGCGTGCCGTAGCCGAATGTTCGTGACCATCTCGTCGCACGTCTTACCACCGCCGTGGACAGTCTCCTCGCGCTTGGTACCGAACGTCAACACGGTCGCGTCCTGAAAGCTGTCGAGCGCGCGGGCAGCCGCTGCGGACGCCGGTCGTCGAAGCGAACGGGGCACTGGGATGTGCAGAAACTGCTTAGCGCACTCGCGTGGCGCCAGGTCCGAGAGAAATAGCACACCAAAGTCGACGGGGCCGGGGGATCGACCTGCAGATGACGAGCGCAGGGGGCCGACCTGAGCGGCATCGGCGGCGGCGGCGGCGCTGACCGGCGGACACTCGATGCATAACAACTGGTCGTGCTCGGACACGGACGGATCGCTCTGCAGCGCCGCGTGCACGTCGACGGCGTCGGCAATGCCATACGCGCGCAAGAGCTCGTCAAGAGTCGCAAACGTCTGGACGTTGAGGTCGTCCAAGTACGCGAGAGCGTCTGCGGTCGACGGCGGATCCGTTGCAGCTCCTGAGCCAGCAGTCTTTGCTCCGTCCTCGTGCTTGTTCGTCCGCGCTGCGTCTTCTTCCTCGTCCGAGTCGCTGTCGACGTCCGCCATCAGATCCTTCCGCACGAGCGTGGGGAAGCACGCTCGCACCCCGTGCAAGAGCTGCACCGCAGCGCCTCCCACGTCCAGCACCTGCACACGGGCGTTTCGAGCTGCCTCCGCTTCGCGAGCGTGCGCCAATGGCACGACCAGCAGTCGCCGCTTGCCGTCACGCTTGGCCCGTCCACCCAGACACGTGAGCTGTCGACCGCTCGGCACGCGTCCTGCCACCACAACGTACTCGTCGACTGGCACTTGCAGCTTCGTGGCCACGTCCAGCAACGCCAGCGCTCCACTCGCAGCACCTTCAAACACAAACATCACAACGGCTTTTTTTCTGCCACAATCTCGAGCGAGCGAGCGGGCGAGCACACACCCACACGCACACCCCCGTCGTAAAACACAGTCTCAAATTAAATTCGCATCTACCGTACGCTCTCCTTCGTCCATTGTGCCGATACCACTCGCTCGCGCCCCGTGCCATCGCTTTCGGCTGCCGTGCGCCGTACCAGCTCAGCACTTCACCGCCTGCTTAAATATGAATGTCGGCAGGCAAGACCGACGGCTTGAGAATCTCTTCGACCAAAAATTCGAGCGGGAACTCCACGAGGTGGCCGCGGATCTCCGACAGCTGACCACGAGCTCGCGTCTCGTCCTCCTTGCGGACCGTGGCAGCTGTCTGCACGTGACTTATCTGGCAGTCGGCGTCTTCGTCTTCATCTTCTTCGCCATCTCCTTCAGTCAGCAGACCTTCCCGAGTAGCTGCGTGGTAGCTCGTTCGGCCATCCTCCAGTAGCGAATCGTCGCCGTCCACATTGTCCTCACTCGTGTCAAAGTACTCGGCGTTGAACTTTGAGCGACGGCTGAAGTCCAACACGTCCATCGTGGAATACCATCGCCTGAGTGACGCGCGAATGCTGTGCGCTCCTCCGTACTCGCTGCCTGCTTCGCTCGATTCGTCATCTGTACCGGGCTGTCGATTGCCACCGACACTAAACAAACCGTGAAAGCTACCGCGCGCGCTTCGTGCATTGGTGCAAGTTTGAGCCCCGCCACCCGCACTTCGGACAGGTGACGTGCGTGCACTGCGCACACAGCGGGGCTTGCTTACGAGCGCGCTAACAAACGGACTTCGAGGTGCCGACCGGGAGCTTGGGGTATTTGGATACGACGCAGTGTCACCGAGCACGGCAGGCCGCGACGATGTAGCAGTATCTGCCACCAGTGCCGAGCCATCTGACGGCATAGACACCGGGTTGTACAGCTGGCGACCACGAGTCATGTCATCGGCAGCCAAGCTGTCAGTCATTCCACCTCCTGAGTCCAATTGACTGCGACTCGTCGGGGTCATACTGACAGAGTTCGAGCGACTGAAGTCTCCTTGCTGAAGCCTTCGCCAAATGGAGTGGAACCGCCCGTGCTCCTCTTCGTCACTAGCTAGGCTATAAGAGCTGTCGCGAGCGTCAGGACGTGGCGGCAGCAACCCCTTCTTGACCCACCGACGCCGCCGGACTTGAGCCATTAGCCGATCGGCTACAAGATGCTGCAGCTTCTCGCGTTTCTTGTAGTCAGTCTTCATCGTACGAACCTCCTGGAAAACGGAAAAGTTGCGCGCGTAGCACCAGCCGTCGTGGTCCATCGAGAACAACTTCTTCTTCCGGTCCCTGAGGTTGTCCACCTCAAAGTCGTTCAGATCCACGCGGTCTGCCGCAATAGGCACACCGTTGACGTCGGTCCAAGGCGCGTAGTCTCCCTCCTTCAGGTTGTTTGCATCCCACAAGTGCGATCGCCCCGGCACCTTCAGCACATTCATACGCTGATTCTCAAAGATCTGCGTCACTTCGATACTCTGGAAATTCACAAACGCGCGCATGCGGTTGGACGGGGCGCAGTCAAACACAGCCTCGAAAATCTTGGTGTTGTTCGAGGCGGTCGATTTAATGGATTGCCATGTGCGATCGGACACTGGATCCGCGACACAGTTGTCGTCATCGGACAGACCTAGGTGCTCGCGGAATAGCTGTAGCCGAAGCTTACTGGCCGCAACCCCTCGTCGGTACGGCTTCTCGTTCATGAGGCCGTCTTCATACTGCATGTCCTCGATAACAAGCGCGATCTCTGAGTCACGATCGCCGTTCATACTGCGGTCATTGATGTTAGCACTACCGATGATAGCGCACCGGTCATCGGCGATCATGAGCTTGCTGTGAATGTAGATCTGCTCGGTTGACACGCATCCATTTGGCATGATGCCATATTGTCGCAATCCGAAGAAAACCACGTAGTTCTCGGGGTGGTTTGTCACGCTAGTTAGCGCCTCGAAAAGGCTGTAGCGACCTCGACAGATGGTCGCAAACTGCCAATGCATAACCGCGTGAAGGTTCGTGAGCTCGTGGCTGCGCACGTTACCCTCGAAAGCCGGAAGCAGTGGCATAACCACATAGACCCGAAATTTCTCGTCACGCAGCACGGCACGCTCGATACGATCGACCAACGCTTGCAGGATCCGGTTGCGTACGATCCCGTTGCCGTCCATTCCCGAAATAAAGAACTGGTTCTCAATGTACAAAAAGTGCTTCGACTTTGCGATCATATCCATGTAGGCAGCCTGGATGCTCGCCTCCGTGGGCACGCCAGCCGACCACATAGACACTGAGCGGCACACCTGGACGTTGCAAATACTAGCGTTTGGATGAAACACTTGGAGTATTGACTCGCCACGCTGAGCGCGCATCACCTCCCCATCGTCCAGTTGGCCCGGGGTCGTCGACACATTCGTGAAGGGTGGCCGCATCGGGTTCAGCGGATGCAATGAAGTGGTCGGTGGCCACTGCGGACCCGAGGCAGTGCACGGGTACATGGGGTTCGTCGATTGTACCACTTGGAACGGTTCCATAGTCAACGAGTCCTCACGAACGACAGGAATGGTTGATCGTGAAGACCCATCCCGCAGCGCTTCCGGTTCCGACGATGGGTACTGCAGTGTCCATCCGTTGAAGTCCATTGGCACGAGGCATTTCGGCAAGAACTTGAACCGCCGCGAACGAAAGCATATGCACCAACCAGTTCGAAGCTGGTAGTCGTTTTTCGAACACACAAAGTTCCAACGCTGGATGAAGTGGAAAGCTACATCCTGAACGGGCGGACCAGAAATACTGCAATGAACGTCATGCCAAGGCATTCGGGGTTGAGAATGCCGGTCGATAAGGTCTTCGAACGGTTTGTTTACCCGAACAAAGTCCTTGATGATCGGATTCGAGTAGTCCTTGCCTCGCCAGACAGGATCGTTGCTAGGGTCGCTGATAGGGTGTCCACTGTGGTCGTATCGGCCGAAACACAGATCCAGTCCACCCGCAAATGCCAAAGACTGATCAATACACACAATCTTCTCATGGTGCGACCAGAACCCCAGACTTTGGATCTGGAAAATCGGATCACGCAAAACCCGAATGTTAGGATGCACCATCAGACTGCGCTTTGTATATGCGCTGTTCAGAGTAAGCGCCAGCTTCACTTCGCGATAAATAAGCACGTAGATTTTGACACCAGCCTCAGCTTTCTTCATCAGCAGCTGGCGCAGCATCGTCTTGTTCACTTGCTGCTCGTCAGAATCATCGTCAAGGTCACGTGGGTGTAACTTCCGACCCGGACGGAGCAAGAACAAGTCCGGACACACCCACCATCCAGCAATCAGAATCTCGTATTTTGCGCCAGAGATTGCGTTAAACATCGCTTCGTACGTGTCTTCTGCGTCCACATGCCAGCTGACAGCACTAGGGCTTGGAGGCGGTGCTTCAAGCATTTCCTCGGATTGGGTGCTGCTGTCCACGCGCCCAGATGACGAAGCTAAATTCCCGGTGCCCATACAAGCGGTACTTTCCGGGTCCAGTTTAGATACCGACTCCACCACCTGGTTGATTGCACTAGTCGGGTTGCTTCGAAACGGCAAGCTTGCGGCCTTCGCTTTAGCACTAACGATGGCGCTATCGTCGTCGCCCAGAGCGCTAATGTGCCGCGGGGCGAAGGAGTCAAACCGCGTGGAAGACTCCTGGCGCTTGAGCTTCTGCAGGCGACACACACATCGATACCAATGGTCTCTGCGCACGTGCGGATGCCATATACCAAGGTACGTCACAAAATAGTTAGCCAAAAAGCCAACCACTGGTGCGATGATACCGCCTGCAAACAGGAACAGCAGGTAGTAGATGTACGACCGCCATGTGAGAGGCGAAATGCGCACGGGTATCGCACACAAACTGCCGATGTTGCCAAATTGTTGCACGTCAAGGTCAGTGCCAACGCCCTCCAGCGTCAAGCTCCCAATACTTTCCAGCGTGTAATTCAGGCCCGATGCAAAAAAGCGATCGTTCGTTGCGTCGATTGGCTTCACCACACTCACCATCGTGCCTGCCCCAACCGCGTTCGTGATCACGTTCAAACTGTACCCCATGCTATCACTTTGCCAAAAATATCCGAGGTTTGCGGTCATCGAATTGGAGGACGGCATCTGGAGCTGCGAAATAACAGCGTTGTTACCCTTACTCTCGATGTAGACCGTTCTGCCTTCGGGTACCGTAAAGTAATAGCCGCAGTATTCAATATCGCTACTCGTATTCCAATTTTCGTATCCCGAAGCATTCGCGATCGGCACACCGAGGCTCTTATCCAGCGTGAGGTCCTCAAAGTCATAAATGCTATTGGATAGACGCATGATGCCATAGCAAACTCCCATCAGAGCGACAAAAGCTGTTAGTCGAGTGTAGTAATGTCCCGTATCGATTTCGATATCACCAGCTTTGCTGCCAACGACTAGACCACTCGGCATCCAGCTCACTCCTTGCCTGTAACTTCCTTTCCTTGCCGTAAATGTCTTGTCGAACAGGAACACCTCGCTTGGCTCTCGGTCGTTCCGATTGCGGTATGCGGCAAAGCACGACGGTTTCAGGACAACCCATCGCCGGATGACACCAAGGCGATGCTGAAAAAACTTGTAAACGAACCCGGCAAAAAAGATGATGCCTGCTAGAACAGCAAGGCCCAAGAAAACGCCAGCCGTGTTCAACTTTGTCGACACCTCTTTCGCGCCCGAATCCGATTTCACCAGCTCCTTTTGAGGAGAAAAGAACGTGGGGAGACTCGTCACAATCACAAGGCAGACTGGAAAAATGAAGCCCACGATAGCTGACACAAAAGCTATACGCATCCAAGCACGGTACAAATGCCGGTACAATGCCTCAATTGTGCGATTGAAGCAAGTATACAGCGGTAGCTGAAACGGTCCGTTGATGCGCATGTGCACATACCCTTCCTTAAGCGACGGCCCAAGCCGCAACATCGCTCGCGACGGGCTCACCTCCAAGAACGACAACAACGGTTCAGAGTTTCGCAAGTTCCTGTCTTTCAGTAGCTCCCTGATATAGTCCTGCACCACATACACGTCCTCGACTCGTTTTTCGGCTCGCTTCTCACGCCAAATCGTCCATGGCAGATGCACACCTTGCATAAGTCTACGGTGGTGAAGGAGACAGTGCAAGTGTAAGTGCAGATGCAGTCGCAGTAGCTGTTTCTGTCCAAAGTAAATCTCCCAGTCCGTAGTGCCCCAGCGCACTCTGCCCACAAACACACAGCACGGAATAACCCCCGCGCGTGTCACGGTGGCCCTATTGACCGAAAAGTCAATCGAGTTCTCCATAACTTCCTCTTCCTCCTCGCTCAGATCCGCATCGTCGTCATTCATGATCGTCATCTCCCCGTCGTTTAGCCCCTCAAGGATTTCACTGTCCGTACACTCGACGCCAAAGAGGTCCGCGTCCACGCCCAGCTCACTCGATTGATAGCTCTTGGCACTAGCGACGCTGCTCGGGCCTGAAAATGCAGAGTTCTTGGTAAATCGCGGCGTTGCAAGACAGTGGTCTTTAGCAGCTGCGGTTTGTAGTCTCAGGTCGTCTTCAGCTCCAGGCATCCCATGTAGGCACGGAAACGATGCCACAACTGTTACTGACGAGGCCGGAAACAAAAAAGAGGTCCACAGTGGTCGGTAAAAGTCCTGGAAAAACTGTAGCAATCAATCACCGACCAGGTGCGGTCCCAAGAACATGATCACAATAACAATAGCAGCAATAGTAATCGTAAGTCAGCATAGTGTGGTGTCATAAGTACGAACAGGACGAGAAAAGATGAGGCCGACCCGACGCGCCCGAGCGCGACTAAGAGGTGGACGGCCACAAACGATCGTACAACAGCGCCACTCGATCGGTTGCTGTACCTTTCTTGCTTGTGGAGGCCGTCAATGGCGCTGCAGTAGGAGCCGAGACGTGGGGTACACGAGACCCACACCGCGCGTTCAGTTGCCAATACAAAGTGCACGAGGAGGCGGCAGGAGCGGCAGTGGCAACTGCAGAAGAGAAAGGAGGAGAAGGACGAGGGAGATGGGAAGCAGCGTGTCGTGTTGTAGGACGTCTGGTGCGCACAGAGAGGACCTGTAAGAAATGATGCCCCGACTTTTAGGGCGATGGAGGACCTGTGAAAGCGAGTAATCGAGTCGGTTCAGCAGCGGGTGCAGCAGCAGATATTGGAGCGTCCGTTGCCGCCAGACGACAGAGCCCTCTGTCTTCATGGCCCGTCTGCAGCTCCAGCGTGCAGACGATTGATCGCCCTACGTTACTGCGGGGATCAGAACGGACGGCGCCTGCTTCTGTCCCACTCAAGTATCTGCTGGGACGCGCACAGATGCTGCGGATCGCGCCGCTGCTCTGGCTCGCGCGGGCCACAAAAAGCGACTCCCTCTGAACTGGCCACGAACGCGGCGAAAGAGGTGCACAAGCGCATGAAGGGCACTTTTGCAGGGACTGCCAGACTCTGGGGCACGAGCATGACCGTCACGAGGACTGACACGGACGCAGTCATGACTTCGTGGATAGCACCTGTGGTCGCGACTGCTGCCGTTGTAATCGCCATTTGCTTGCGAATCGACAAGATCGTCCGTCGCCTTATTTTAGCTGCGACATTTTCTTTTGGCCGGTCTTTTACACACAAAAAGGAAGCAGATATTGTGCGCTCCGCGCATTTACGCGAAGATAGCGATGTTTTTTCTTTCGAGAACCTGTGTGAATTGATACCACGCCATGGCAAAATCCACCTCACAGATTTGCTGACGCGGCCAGCAGACGTTTTTTGATCTGTGCTGCAAGCACCTGATGGGAAGATCGCGCACTGTTTTGATGAACTCTCTACTCACTACGTCCTTTACAGAGGCACCAGAAGAAGTCGGTAGCTGTCGAACGGTATCGTGTTTGTCACTCGTGCTGACTTTCTCAAAGCGCGTGCGAGTGTTTTACACTCTACGAAACCACTGAAACTCGTGCAGTCGCGAGTACGTGACCGCTGCAACACCACCGCCTGATCGTGCGGTCGACTGCCGCTCCAACGATAGTTTGCGTGTGACTCACAACTTGCAAAGGAAGCTGTGCGTGACATTGCCATCGAGGCGGACGTGCGCAACATGACTTCGCTGCAGGTCTGTGCATTACACGGACACCGTTTACAGAGCTGGAGCAGATACAATGGGTAACATTGATAGGAAGAGGCAAACGATGAAGACAGCACCGATGATGCAGCGCAGTCCTTACACTGTCGATCAAGACCATATCGACTGTCAGATGGCAGGTGTCGTAACAACATCGTTGCGGACCGTCGGCCGGTCGGGTTTTATGAATGAGAATAGAGTCCACAATCTCGACAACGTCACACACGTGCTTGGTGTTGTTCTCCGAAGGCGCCGTGGACGTATGCTCGGACCGATGCGTTCGTTATCTATCACGTCGCAAAACGTCAATCAAAAGCTGGTCGTTGAGCATCGATGCGGTACCGCAAACAACACGACGTCGAAGTTCGACGATCAGCAAACGCTAGCTTCATGCTGCGACTCCCCCCTCTAGCCATGTACATGGGTTGATAGCACAAGCATCGGACGAGGTCAACTCCGATGGGCTACCGCCGCCTTTTTGCTTCCACACAACGTGCCCTTTCTATCTCTGCTCTCGTGTGTCGACAAGATTCGGCGGCAAGACGGCAGACCGTTTCCATGTTGTACGATCATCCAAGGTCGCTAACAAGACGATTGCATGCAAAGTGCTGTCAACGATACTGAAAAAGCGTATACGAAACACACATTTGGCGCGCGGGATCTACGGAACGTAGTGTATCGTCCATAGGCGCTAGCGTACCAAGGTGAAGCACAGGTGGCGCTTTTGTACATTCTTTCCGTGACTAAGTACACTGCAAGAGGTGTCGCACAAACTGTAAGCAAATTGTTTCATTGCGCGCAAGCGAACGAAATATGTGGCTGACTCGGGTGTCTGGCCACATATTCGGTTCGCTTGTTCGGCCGATCTTAGCAGACACCATAGCTGTAGCTGTTAGCTAAAAATGCCGGTCGCTAATGCAACGACACGTCGATCACACGGCTATTCACGATATATCGATGAGTAACAAACAGTCTTTGCAATTGATCGCATCTACACCGGCGATAATTCTCTTGTCGATTGAGCCACATATCAGCCACAATCTCGCTCGCCTCTTCTGCAGATCAAAGGTGGCACAAAGTGGTGAGAAAAGAATGCGAGCTACATTACTTCTTCTTCCAGTATTTTTTCGCACGCACCCTGAGCTCGTCGCAGCGAACGTTAGCCGTAGTGTTCGTTCACTTGCGCTGGTATCAGTGTGGTCCTCGACAATAAACATTCTGTGACAACCGCAGCACATGAAAGACTGCAACGGGAGTAGCAGTTGCACACGTTTCTATGTCAATGTCTGAGATGACTGACCATTTGTTTGCTCAAGGTTTTGCGATCAAAGACCTTCTTTCACCTCAGGACTAATGCGTGGCACACGCGTTACCAGTTCATGTATCGAGAGCCCGCCGTCAATCGACTCCAGAGCGCGACGACTTTCCAGCAAATTAACGCCGTGAGCGTACCGGACGCTCGTATTTCATATCACTGCTGTTCTGTAACGGGCTTAAATGCATACATGATACACGTACCCGTCACGTACTGCATTCTTGACGGGCTGGTCTAAATGATACGTGAAGTACTTAAGACCTGCCACTTGGGTATGCACTTAAGACCTACCACGTGGGTGAGGCACACCAATGTGAACCACCCTCGGGTACGTGATAACCATCCATGGTATTCACATTAAAGAGGATGACGCCCAGTTGAGACTAGGCGTCATGATGACGTCACAAACGGACGTCATCAGGAGGCTTGACTATATCTAAGCTCGCCGCGTAGGGATGCGCTTCTAAAGTGACGCGCATCCAATTAGTGCATAATAATCAATCATCTTATGATTTACATTTAGTTGAACAACAAATAAAATATAAATCAGGCTTGAACTTTAACTTAGTACACACTGCGGTCCAGAAGGCTGGTAACAGCTTCCGAGACGCAGGTAGCACTATACCCTTCGTTCATTGTACATGTCGCCTTAGCAACGGGCAATCTCAATACAGCACGCGAAGCTAAGACGGCCTAACCGCTTTCAGATCAGTGCAGAAGGTGTGTGTGCTTGTAGGGCCGTGGCAGCTTGTAAGCGCCCGTCTACATGTTCGTTATCTTCTGACAGGCTGACCATCTGACCGATTGCAATCGCGATTTAGCCATGGTGAACGACGATCCTACAGTGTACATCATGATCTTTCGTCCAGCTTATCCGACTCAGCCCAAAATCAAATTAGTAGAATTTACACACCCGTAGAAGCATGCGTTATGACTCAAAACGATCTGTCAAGCATTTCACACCCAACTCTTTCCCCCAGACCTGAATTCTGTAAGCGAAGTGCCCATGAGGGTGGTCTTATTTTCTCCTGGCAAATGATGTGTATGTGCACAGCAAAGGTCCAGCAACATGTCTGCTGACCTCGAGCTGTAATGGGGTGAGCTCAGTACCTACTTTTGATCCTCCTTTGCGGATCGACAAGGCAGCACATTTTAGTACGAATCCTTTTGCTGATAACGGCTCATTCTCTATCCGTCAACATCGGTTAAGGTGTCCGTGAGCTCATGCTCAACCACTTCATATGTGTTCGAGTGTCACGTAGCGGGTGGTAGGTCGAATATTGCACATATATCGTCTATGTCCTGCTTTGGAATCAAGTGAAGGTGGTTACGTTTGCGCAAATGTGTGCAGTCTCCATTTCCTATAGGCATGTGTTTTCGAGTTCACTCGTGCGTCTCCTTCAGTAAGGATATATGTAACGGGGCACTATTGACTACGTACTGGTTGACCAGTACGGAGTATACTTCCACTGACGACAGTGGTCGACAGTGCCCTGCTAGGTGTTTAAGGAACACAGAGGGAGGAAAGGAGCCTAAGTAGTCAGACTAGTCTCTGGTAAAAGTAAAACTGTATGAATATAGTTAAGTCCTATAACTTCTTGAATCTCTGTTGTCCTGACTTAATTATACCAATATAACTAAATGTATGATGACGTCTACTCACCACCCATTGCGCGCGTCTAGCAGCGATTGGTGGGCTGATATCATCACGATATCAACCAATGAGTAGACCCTTCGGTCATCTCAACAATATCGCCATGTCTGTGATATTGTTAAAATAAATTCGACGTAATATTCTTTATTGTCAAATTGTTTCAATGACGATTTCATGTAACGCGCTACCCCGTTACATCACCCCTCCCTTATCTGATAGTCACTGTGTGAATATTGAAAACTTGGTGGCCACCCGTTGGACACCAGTGGGACAGGGAGCACTTGTTTGGTCAGACCCATTCACTCCTGACCCTGCCTCGCATAGTTAACATGTCTATGCGAGGTGATTCGAAGACCACAAAGCCTGCTGCTGTGCCAGCCTCTGCGGCAGACGCTTTTTCGTCTGCTGCTTGTTCTTCGTCTACAGCAGAAGGTGCTGCAGACGCACGCGGTATCGCACCACATGCAC